ACGAGGTCTCACTCGTCATCTTCAGGCTGGTGCACCAGCCTGAAGATGACGAGTGAGACCTCGTCGAAACGTCGCCTAGACACCCCAACTTTTACACGGGAAGACACCCGAAGACACCAAAACCTGCATATATATATATATATACACACACACCATAGGTAAAGCATCATTAACATCCTGACATACAGACATGAACATGCAATTACACACACACACACACACACACACACACACACTTTTGTCCTATAAACTCATGTCTCTACTAGTAAAGGTAAATTGGAAAAACTCCTTAAACTATGTATAGAAAGTTTACAGATGCACCGTTACCCCTTGCATTTCATGACTTTTTGGCCCCACTATGTTATATATATATATATATATATATATATATATATATATATATATTTCCTTTGTACTCTGTTTTGCCTGCTAAATGCTTGGCAGGAGTTTATGCTGCAATGAATATGTTAGACTTCAAATGGTTACAAAGTGATGCTGTTGAGAGTAGCTTTCAGATCGTGTGTGAATATTATGTTCGGTTAGACAGATGTCACTTGTTAACTTAAGTTTGTCCATAGTGGCATGGTTTTGTTTGGTTATTGCCTAATGCCCATTGAAGGGTTACAAATTATTTGTGTGGGGGTTTTCTTGTTTTAGGTAATAGCTAACCAGATGTGTCCTATCGCACTTCTCCTGTTTTTGCACTCTAGCTTTCCTTGTTTGCTATGATGTTCATGATCTTCTAGTGGAAATGTGCAGCTCAGTAGAAATGTGGAAAAGAAACCCTGTCAAAATAAATCGGCTTCTTCAGACTGGCACGAAAACAGCTGACTTGGGTGAATTCTGTGCTAGCGTAGCTAAACACAATGAAAATTCTTTCTGTCAAGCTGAGAAACAGAGAGCAAGTTGAATCCCTAGCATAATTTAATAATTTTGTGTTTTTTCTCCCTCAGCAGTTAGGTATTTCCCACTGGATTTTGTTTGTTTAAGCATTCCATGGTTGCCTTAACATCTGAAGCAAACGGGACTTTTAAAATTTAGCTTGCAAGTTACACATGACCTTCAACCTTTAGAGGGGGGGAACATGCTACATTATAGCTCAACTATAGTCCTGTGCTTTGGTTTGTACATCCCAGACAATCCTAAAAACGCCTGGCTACAATATTGAAATGAATGGGTTTCTGTCCTGTAAGCCACATGCTTTTCAGTGGGGGCTAAGCACATATGACTCTGTGCAGTTGTACAGATTTTTGCAGTCACGTTTAATGGGGATAATAATAATAATAATTTATTATTTATACCCCGCCCATCTGGCTAGGTTTCCCCAGCCACTCTGGGTGGCTCCCAACAGAATATTAAAAGCACGATAAAAGATCAAACATTAAAAACTTCCCTAAACAGGGCTGCCTTCAGATGTCTTCTAAAAGTCAGGTGGTTGTTTATTTCCTGACATCTGATGGGAGGGTGCCACTACCGAGAAGGCCCTCTTCCTGGTTCCCTGTAACGTCACTTCTTGCAGTGAGGGAACCACCAGAAGGCCCTCAGAACTGGAGCTCAGTGTCCAGGCGGAACGATGGGGGTGGAGACCCTCCTTCAGGTATACTGGGCCAAGGCCATTTAGGGCTTTAAAGGTCAGTACCAACACTTTGAATTGTGCTTGGAAACTTGCTAGGAAGTAAGTTGCACTGATTTCAAGGAAGTCCGCTTAGGATCAACAACCTCAATCAAAATGGACACAAGGCTATTTTAATTAGGGAGAGAAAACATGATCTTAGAAGTCCGGTTAATATCTTTCTAAAAGGCATTCTTTGACATGAACAGTTTTGAACTTCAGAATTGGTGAAATAAATTATTACAGGTGAGGTCCAACGGAGTCACTCTATTAATGGGAGGAGAGTTGCACACACAGAAGGACAGCTTCTGTGAATGCAGCTGTGCTTGCCTGGATGAAAGCTCCATCAGTGAATGGAGCAACAACTTGGTCTCCCATCCTGTGTTTTTTTAAAACTTCTGTTCCGGTTGCACTCACGTTTGAAATCCATTACCTGATGTTCCAATCCTATAGCCATGAAACAGTGCACTGAGTGTCTTGCATTGATGTAACTAAAGGTGTGTCTTCTCACTGGTGGGGCAAGTTCATCTTGCTATGTTGCCTGCCAAGGTGTGCTCCCAATACGTGCAACCCAATTTTAAGCACATAGGGTTGCAGTTACACAGCTGGCTCCTGCGGTGCTTGAAATCCCTTTTGGATGCTGCGCTTGTCTCCGTTTCTGTCCCAGCTCTCTTCTGTCCTCTGTTCTCAGCTTCACAACGACTTATGATCATGTATGGTGATTTTTTTTGTTTTTGTTTCTGCTAATAATGGCATTCGACTGTGCTTGATTATTTTGCTACACTTGTCATAGCACTGCAAATGTTTGCTTTTGCAGTAGCTTATACAGTGGTGCCTCGCAAGACGAAATTAATTCGTTCCGCAAGTTTTGTCGTCTTGCGTTTTTTTCGTCTTGCGAAGCACGGTGTCAGGAAAGTTTTGGAAAAGCTTCAAAAATCACCAAAGTCTTTAGAAACCTCAAAAAAGGCTACCACACCACGTTCTATGAGTTGCTCCTCGAAGTCAAGTCGCAACTGTATTAACGGTGTTAAGAAAAAGGAAACAAACTTGTAAGACGTTTCCGTCTTGCGAAGCAAGCCCATAGGGAAAATCGCCTTGCGAAGCAGCTCAAAAAACAAAAAACCCTTTCGTCTAGCAAGTTTTTTGTCTTGCGAGGCATTCGTCTTGCGAGGTACCACTGTAGTACCAGGTCACAAGACGCTGTATTTCAGAAATATTAATATTGTTATTAAATTTATGTGCCACCCTTGCTTCCAAAGAAGTCTTAAGTAGGAAACATTTTTTTTTAAATAACAACAAGAATTTAAATATTCTGAAATCATTTCAGAACACTCAGATACCCTCACAGTTGCTAATTTCAAGTTTGTCGGGAACAGTATATTTCAGCCATCAAAATACCTGGGCAAACAGGAACATGTCTGTTTCATGTGAGTGAAAAGCATTCCAGGTACCTTGAACTGCACTTGATTGCATGATTAGACCCACCTCAATGCATTAGCCTACCTGTTACCACCACAGCATGGCAGTTTTTGTTCTGCTAATGGTAATCCAAGAGTTTAATTTGGCCTTATTGTGGCAATTTAATCTTGTGCAAGCCCGACTGCATAAGCAACCCAAGCAGTGGTTTTGAGCAGCACAGATCTGGTGTGCAATCCAAGAGGTGTGCCCCAGGATCCCTTGCAATATTGCAGGGAGTGCTGGGGTTGGACCTCTTGGATTGCTTTGCTTGGGCCAACCCTGGGAGCTAGATGCTTGGTGCTGTTTTAATTATTAGTGTCTCCCTAGTCTGTATCCTTGAAATAATTATCATAATTCCCTTGCTTCAGTGTTCTTTTGGTTGTGACAGGCGTAAGATTGCAAATGAAATATGCTTGATAGGGCAGAGGCACTGAAGTGTTGAGTCTGGAAAGATTATTGAGCAAATAGTGCAAGTGGCTCTCGACAGTATTTGAAATTAGCCAGGTACTTTTGCGCCTGGCTTTTGACTACTTGCAACCAAGCGAAGATGCCTGGGCACCAGGATAGTGCCTGACATCTGCACCATCTGGGGATCATTGGAGTGTTTACATACAGTAATACCCCCATCCTGTAGAATTCTATCAGTTATAATTTTATCTGTGCAATCGGAATGGATTTCCAGAACCAAATGGCTTTTTCTGTGCAGCCTGAGCAGGAGCAGTCACCATTAAGAAAAAGAGGTCTGAATAAGCCAATATATATGTGGACTGTCCCTGGGAAAAGGGACTTTTCTTCATCATCTGAACTAGCTAGATGTTTAACTGAGAATCAATTAATCAAGGGTGGTTCACAACAAGACCACAACATATAAAATAAAACCAAAAGCAGCAACCCGTCATTTGAAAAATAAGACTTTAGAGTTGTCTTGCCCCCAAATGGCAACTAGACAGTCCATTTTGGTGACACTGCAACCTTGGTTTAAGGACCCATTTGACACCTAGAATATATACCTGAGTTTCCAACACTGCTCTCCAGATGTTGTTGGACTCCAACTCCCATCAGCCCCAGCCAGCATGGTCCGTGGTCACAGGTGATGGGAGTTGTGGTCCTCTGCAGATGTCGAAAGGTCTCAATTAAAACATCCACAGGGATGTTGTAGTTTCATGTAACATATTTACATGTAGTTATGCAATGGAATACATTTATGTTGAAGAAATTCTGTTACTGCAAACAGTAGAATAGAACAAAAATAAGCAGCATAGGGGCCATGTCCAATTGGCTTTCCTCCCAAGTAGCCTTCCTCTACTGCTCAACAACAAAGTGTTGATGGGCCCAGTGGTTCCAGGAAAACGTGGCAAACCTTTCCCAGGACTGTCCTTGTCTTGTGGTGGATGTCTTCACATTAGAATTGGAATCTGAGTTGGCTGAGTCCACAACCTTGTAGCCAGGCCTGACTTGACATATTCACCAAAAGGTACAGAATTAATCCTACCAGATCAACTTTTATTACAGAAGATTCTGATACATATTAAAATATACAGTGGTACCTCGGGTTACATACGCTTCCGGTTAAGAACTTTGCTTCAGGATGAGAACAGAAATCATGCTCCGGCGATGCTGCAGCAGCAGCAGGAGGCCCCATTAGCTTACTTAACCCGGAGTACCACTGTATTCTGTAATGTGGCAGAAGTGGTTAATGTGAGGCATCAAGGATGGCTAACCTGTAAGCCATCTGCTTCGTGGGGCTGCATAAGCAGAATTATGTGTGTCTGAGCTTCTCACTTCAAAGAATATCTGTGTAGGATTTCAATTCATATTTGAGTCCAGTGGAATTCAGGTTAAAGCATCGCAGAGATGATCCCTTATTTAACAAAGCGTATTTTGTCTCCTGGGTTCCATTTCACCTATTTTCCTTCCCTCTTTTGCACAGTCGTTCAGCTCCAGTTACATGGACCAAATGAACCACAACAAGTACAGTGTCATTTATTCGACGCCAAACATGGTGCCCAGTAAAATCTACCAGATTTCGGAAGGGTTTTGTAACGGAGTGCAAGTTGAGCCTGTCGACCTCACAGTGAAGCGGAGCTCGCCTCCTTCGTCAGGAAGTTCTCCTTCTCCTTCGCCCCTGAAATTCCAGCCCAGGAGAGGCTCGCCTGGATTAAACCTGCCCTCACCCAGCCCACCAATGAAGAAACTGCAGCCTTTCACGATGCCATTAACTATTCCTCCGGTAATGGCAGCTCTTTCTCGCCATGGACTTCGAAGCCCTGGGATGCTTCCAGTTATACAGCCCGTCGTGGTGCAGCCTGTCCCTTTTATGTATGCTCCTCCCCTTCAGCATCCTATTATGGTGTCCACGGTCCTTTCAGAAGAGTTGGAAAACCCAAGTAGCATGCCAGGTAAAGGTTCTGGTTTTTGTGGACTTCCCCATCCCGTTTTTTATTTTTTAAAAGATAGATTAAAAAGGGAACCTGATGTTCTTCTGCTTAAAGGCGTGCCACATCTATCATGGCAAAACTGCTTCTGTTTACCCTTTTACAAGGGGATACGGAAAATAAGTGTTTTCAACTAAGAGCAGGCAAAGTAGATTCCTGCTTCGTGGACCAGGCATTTAACTCTCTGCATAATCTGCGTCACAGTTTTCGTGACAATAAAGGGGGACGGAAAGGCAGAAACAAGGGATGATTAGGGCTGGGTGATAAACCAATATATCGTCCAAAACTGAAGTCCATATCGTGATACTGGTTTCGTACTTTTTGACCTGGCAATATATTACGAATCATGATGTATGTGCGTCTGCTAGGCAAAAATCATGATGTTGGAAAAACTGTGAAGCCAGCCAATGCCTAGCTCCATCCTTATTTCAGATATCGTGATATATCGGTATATTGCGCTGTTTAGCTGGTAATATATCACGATGTTGAAAGCCATGTATCGTTCAGCCCTAATCCTGACCTCCTTGGAGGAGGCAAGGGCAGTAAAAAATGCAATAAGTAACAGTGTTTTGAATGCAGAACTTACCAGCCTACAAAATATATTCAGCAGTTGACTATCTTCCCAGGAATATCTTATTTTAGTTACATGTAGCACGTAGAAGATGGGAAAATGTGTTTATTTGCTATGTTTTTCTTGTAGTGTCTGTTATAGAATCTTATGAGAAGCAAGCCCTAAGGAAATCGATTAAGGTGGAACCAGGCATGGAATCTCCGAGGAATGACTACTATCCTGAACAAATGTCCCCTCCGCTGATGACCTCATTGTCGCCTCCTCAAGCAATGCTTCAAGAGTAAGTAGCTAACTGGAGTCTTATACTACCTCGTTTGAGCACAATAATTAATTGCGTCCTCATCGTAGATTGCATTACCGTGTTGCATTCTATGTAGGGCTGCCCTGGAGACAGCAGCTAGTGCAAAATTCAGCTGACCAAGGCAGAATATTGCATCCTATTACACTGCTGTTGAAAGAATTGTGCTAGCTGCCAATTAGCTTCTGAGTTAAGTCCAAGGTGCTAGTCCTGGAGAACACAGCCCTATGCAGTTTGGGGGTCAGAATACCTAAAATACAGGGTTGTCTCTTACACCCAACCAATCGTGTAAATTGTCTTTTTGGTGCCTGTTGAAGACTTTTTCAACCAGCCATTTTAGGAAGAGACTTTTATCACAGTTGGTATCTGAATTTATTTGAAATTGTTTAGAATACACACACACACACACACACACACACACACACACATCGTTTTTATATATGCAGTTGTTTTGCATATGGCTTTTTTTGCAATGTGAAAAGGCTTTGAGATGCTTTGTAGGGTGTGTTTCATAAATCAGTTGAATAGCAATAGATGATCTAAAGTGTAGCATGATTTAGTTGGGTTTATAAAGAGATAACAGCTCATTCCCTTTCTCAAAGGAGACAGGATAAGTTTCCCTGGGAAACGTCTTCAAAGACTTTTAAAACGTTGCTAGGAACCTTAAAAGAAGGTGATTTGTGTTACTGAAGTCAGGCTAATGGACACAGGTAGTCTTGTACCCAGAACAATTCTTTACCCCTCCCTCAGGCCTTCCACACACCCCTTGACTGAAAAGAAAAAGGGGGGATCAACCTTTCGCTATCAGTTGCAAGACATCTTGCATTAGTCTAACTGAGTTGCACTGGTGCAGTAAAATATCGAAGAAATGTGCAGATGTAACATCTCAAAACTTCATTTGTGGGATCTGTACCTGCTGCAGTTAGAGATGTTGGATGTTGTAGATTGCACTCAGTTTAGTTATGGTATTTTTAATTTAAAAAAATAAAGACACCATGCGGTCAAAAAGACTTTTAAAAAATAAAATTTAAAGCAAATCAGATAAAAGAGCCTGTGGACTCTATCCCCAGACCTTTTATTTTGGCAATTTGGCTTGGCTCTCTTACTTGAGATCTGGAGCTATTTGTTTGGATAGCTGGCAGAACTTTGGTCTAGATAGGGATTGGTTCTTTTTGAAGTCTGTGTGCCCTAGTTTTCCTATTAGCTCTGCACCATGATAAGTTACCAAAAGCACTCTTTATTGATTGGGCTTCATGACATAGTTACCTCTGATATGTTGATAGCTCTTCTACATTATTCCTCCTCATATCACCACTTGTACCACATACAGTTCCTTTAAAAAAAACAACCCCATCTTGCAGAAATCGCACAATCACTTACTGAAGTCCCACTTTTTTTAAAGACAGAAGTTCTAGATGCAGGAAATAAAGAGATGGGGCTTTCTGCTTGCTAATTAGAAATAATGAATGGATAGCTGTCTTTTCTATAAACGTGTACGGATACAGAACTGTACAGCTGTTACTGCCTGATTTTAAGGGTTATTCCTAGGCCAAATGCTCTTAGTGTGCATAATGTGCTCTGGTAAGGCCACACGCCTCCAACTGATGGAAGCCTAAGAGTCGATTTTTGACATCCTGTGGGTGTGGCACATACAGACTAAACTCTACTTTTAGGGATTGACATCAGTGGTAAGGAGAGACCGCACCCTTATGCCAGCCCTAAACAGGAAATTCTTAATTGGTCTCTAGGGGAATAGAGACTAAAGCCTCTTAAGGAAGAACTGGTGGGTTTAATAATGTAAAAAAGCTGTGAGCCAGCTCATTTTTAAAATTTCTTTCCTAAGCAGAAGGAAAATATGTCAACAAAAGCAATAGACGTTCACTGGAAGCACTAACTGAGAATTTGGAAAATCTAAATACAGTATGCTTGTCTGGGAAACAAGAGCCTGATCTTAAAAATAAACGAAAAAGCCTAGCATGCTCTGGAGATTTTTTTGTTGTTCATCCCACAGAATGACTAAAACGCCCAGCAGGGAAGAGAGCCAAAATATTACCGCGAAAGACCATGAAATTTGCTAAGCTTGCTTGAATTCTTCCACATGCATGTAATGTTGTTTAGGCTGCCAAAAGACAGAGGGGGTAGTGAATAAAGGAGCTCTGTGGTGTAACATTAAGGGCGATGTAGCTAAGCAGATTTCATCGTTGACCTGTGGCTTAACTTCATGCAGGAATCACCCTTCAGTTATCGTTCAGCCTGGCAAGAGGCCTTTACCTGTGGAATCTCCAGACACGCAAAGGAAGCGCAGAATACACCGATGTGACTACGAAGGCTGCAACAAGGTTTACACTAAAAGCTCCCACCTGAAAGCTCACAGAAGAACACATACAGGTATGAGGCAGATCCAAAGATCACTTGTTCTCTTGTCACAACCCAACTCAGAAGTTTCTAAGAGAGAAAAATAGCTCCATTATCATACAGTGTTGGTTCCTTGGCAGATTAAGATTACATTGAGACCTAATTTTTGACTGAGCCATTATTATGCCGGCACTTTTCCTATAGATGTAGAAATGAATGACACAGAGTATTACTGCACAAGGGTCGTTGTGGTGCTCTGGAAGAAAAGGAGTGGGAACAGGGGGGTGGTAATAATAATAATAATAATAATAATAATAATAATAATAATAAAATATCCTGCCCATCTGGCTAGGTTTCCAAGAGATACAAAAACATAACAAAACATTAATTAAAAAACCTACCCTATACAGGGCTGCCTTCAGATGTCTTCTAAAAGTTGTGTAGTCCTTTATCTCCTTGACATCTGATGGGAGGGCACCACCACCAAAAAGACCCTCTGCCCGGTTCCCTATAGCTTCACTTCTTGCAGTGAGAGACCACCAGAAGGCACTCGGAGCTGGACTTCAGTGTCCTGGCTGAACAATGTGAGTGGAGACCCTCCATTTGTAGTATGGTGTTGGCTTTTATAGTCCATAGGAACTGCAAAGGTCAACACAAATGCACATGAGCCACTTCTGATTGTAATGTAAAGGTTAGGGATGCTTTGATTGGCAGGACAGCTGCATCAGCCCAAGTTGCTGCTAGAAATGCTGTAGCTTGAATTGAGCTGTAGGAATGCAAAATGTGCGTGGGGAATATATACAATTTAATTTGACTGGAATGGTTTTGCTCTAGCCATGGGGCCATAAACAAAGCCATAAAGCAAAACTGACTGTGGCCCAGTCTACCCATTAATTATTGGCAACATGCTTGCTGTCAATAAACGCTGTTCCACCACTGTGGCGCTCCATATTTTGTTTTATTGGCACTGTATCATGTGTCTTGCTCGGGTTATTGTATTTTCATGCCATGGCAGTGTCACTTGTCTCTTTGGTGCCAGGAAGTCAATGTGCTGTACAGCCGATGGCATTATCACTTCTTGTATTTCCTTAGCTTCAGGAGTGGCTCAAATTAAGGCCACCCTACCACTCTGTAACATGTGTCACATACCAGAAAATTTCTCAGTCTTGAGACTGAAGCTTCAAATATGTAAAATGTGGAATACTTACCTGTATTTTCAATTATTTACACTTCAGTCCAATGAATATTTACTCAGAAGTAAGCCTTGCTGGGGACGCGGGTGGCGCTGTGGGTTAAACCACAGAGCCTAGGACTTGCCGATTAGAATGTCAGTGGTTCGAATCCCCGCGACAGGGTGAGCTCCTGTTGTTCGGTCCCTGCTCCTGCCAACCTAGCAGTTCGAAAGCACGTCAAAGTGCAAGTAGATAAATAGGTACCACTCTGGCAGGAAGGTAAACAGCGTTTCCGTGCGCTGCTCTGGTTCGCCAGAAGCGGCTTAGTCATGCTGGCCACATGACCCGGAAGCTGTATGCCAGCTGCCTCGGCCAATAAAGCGAGATGAGCACCGCAACCCAAGAGTCGGCCACGACTGGACCTAACGGTCAGGGGTCCCTTTACCTTAAGCATTGCTGTGCTCATTGGGGCCTATCCCCTAGCAGGTGTTAAAGGATTTTAGCCTTGGTTTTTTATTTTCTTTGCACACACTTTTGCTTTTCTGAGTGGTGGCTGGTTTATTTTTCTTATTTTTCTACTGAATAGGCACTAGTACCACCACACCCTTCTACATCATCACTAAATTTGTCTTGGATACAGCATTCTCTCTACAGATCTTGTTCTCTGTTTCTGAGCTCTGTTCAGTGAAGGCTCTCACAAATGAAAGCTTTCACAAATAGAAAGGGTGCAATTTTCACAAGTTCCCCTTTTCTCCCAGGCACTCTCTAACCCCGTATAGCATGCTGACTTGTGGGAGAGAAGGGAGAAAACAACAAAAATAACCTCACCATGGACAAATAATGCCCACAGGACTGAAGAGCTTTCAGAGAGATGCAATTGAACGTAACTCAGGATTAAAAGCAACAGTTAGGGCTAGTGGACAAGTCAGTTATGGATCAAATATAAAGACATTCTAAGGCCCATTTTTAATCCAGAGAAACCTGTTTTACTAGAACATCTGGTGTAAATGTAAAAAGTAGTTTTTAAGTAACAATGCTGTTGACAACGGAGGCTTGCTTTTCTTATGTGTTCATTGTGTAAAATGAAAATATGTTCCGTGAGTTTTTGTTTTGCTTCGGTTTTTTAATTGCCTTCCCCCCTCCCTTTTTTTTTCTTTTTTCTTTGGCCTCAGGTGAAAAGCCTTACAAATGTACTTGGGAAGGTTGCACATGGAAGTTTGCTCGATCTGATGAACTAACACGGCATTTCCGGAAGCATACAGGAGTCAAACCTTTCCAGTGCCCAGACTGCGACCGTAGCTTTTCCCGCTCCGACCATCTTGCCCTTCATAGGAAGCGCCACATGCTAGTCTGAAACACTCTTCCTTCGTCTCTCTTCATTCTTTTCATTTTTAACCTGTGCATTTTAAGTTGGATTCAGCGGGCCTGAATCTCTGGATTAATAGCCTTGAAACCTTCCCTATGGTCAGTAAGAGATGTTTGCTTGACCCTTCTTTGCCCATGCCACGGGTCAGACCTACAGAATGTGAACATTTTTTTTTCCTCCTGGGGGTTGCTAAGCAAACCCTTGCTTGCCAGCATGCAGATTAAATTTCCGTGAGACTTAAGAGATCTTGTAATCGAGCTGGCTAGTTTTGCCATTTAATTAACCAGCATATGTTGATCATAGTCACTGTTGTTGGAAATCCAGCCTGCTAGTCCTTGCCAGAGACTCTGTACCCTGTAAAGGATGCGTGTCTCCTTTTTATGCTCAGCAATGCAACGAATGGATCCTTTTCCAATGTGGTTGGTTGTAGAAGCATGTTCCACAAGACACTTTTTGGATGTGTTTAAAAAAAAAAAAAGAATCCTCAAACTGGGAGTGAATGGAACAATTTTTGACTGATGAGTGGCTGTTTATCAGCAGAAATGTTGTCAATGCATCATGTTGTACATCCTGACCGACATTGCCTCTCTTTTGTCCGTTGTGTAGAATGCTAGCTTGTGTTTGCCTGGATAATAGTGCCTCGGTAGATTCATTAAGCAAAGACCTTCTTGTAGTGTAGTTATCTGTGTTTTGTGTCCAGCTGTATGAATGGAACACACATGGTACTCGTATGATGTGGCATTCGATGATACATGCAATAATCTACCTCACTGAGGAGGTGTGGTAGGTATATTATTTTCTCATCACTCCTCTGCATTTCCTGTTGTCTACAAAAGGCCTCTGGTCCTTTCCCTGGCACAGTTTAGAAGCAGCAACCTTTTCGGCAAAATGAACCTGAACTGCTGGAAGGCACCACCATATTCATAAGATAAGTGAGGAAGACAACCTCTGAATTTAAGCACTTCTGTAGATCTCAAAATCTGAGTATCGCAAATGGAAAAGGTACACTTTGATCTCTCGTTGCCATGTTCCACAGAAGAGCTTCGTAAGTCCCTCAAGTGATTTGTCATGCTAGGAGTGGTAAAATACACAACCAAAAAATAGTTATTTAAAAATCCAGCATGGTTGATACTATTCCATATCCTCTAGAGATTTCGTGGAAAGATTTGAAGGAAAGAAAAATTACTCTTTTCACCAGTGTGCCTACGAGCTCCTGTTAGAATTATGGGTCATTTGGCTTTCATATTTTTAAAAATGGAGATAGGTAGATAGATATATTGAGGCCATCAGCAATAAGGGGAATGAACAACAGAGGAAAGGAACTCATAATGTGCTAGGAAACACTTTATCGAAATCAACTGTTGTAATCAAATGCATTTTGAGTTAACCACCCCTTCAGGGGCAACCTGTTTCATTCAACACTGTCAAAGTAGTAGTGTGCTTCTACTGTTTCATAAACTGTGTTGGGCTTCCATAGTTCATTTCTATAAACTATTTTCTAGCACTTTTTGTAGTCCTGTCTCCTCTTTTCTTCCACAGAAAAATAAAGTACAGCTGGGTGCTTACTTAGCTTGGTGACTCTCTCCCACTGAAACCGGATGTAGCAAAGTAACTGTGGCTGGATCATGGCCATCATTTTTTGTCTCATGCACTCTGTATCTGCACACCTGTTCTAGATAGGCCTTGTACATTTTTTCTCAGATTCAATTTGGTTTGTAAATCCCAGGTAACTTCAGATTAAGGCTGCAATCATTTACACACTCATGGCAGAAAGCAACACTGGCAAGCAATGGGACTACTTTAAAATTAAAATTAAATGTTATATTAAAAAGTATAAATTTATAGCAATAAAGATTCAAACACTGAAAAAGAGCAATAACAGTGATAAACAGTCTCCCCCACCCTGCCCCTTCTACTCATCATGGTCCCTTCCATCTAAATTTCGTGCAGGATTCCATAATTTCGTGCAGGATTCCATAACTAATAGGCAAAAAATCATGTGTAGATCGTCAATTCAGTAACTTCATTAACTAAGGATCTTAATATATTTTGAAATACATTTTTGATTTATTCATTTATATAAGTTTAAAAAGAGGTACATAGAGGGACTTAATTTTCTGAGTATAGGATTGTGCTGTGACATTTTCTTCCCTTCAAGAAAGCATGCACTTCCCCACTCCTGAAAGGAAAACGTTCACAGACTATGTCAGAAGGCTGATACGGAAGAGTTGCCGCTTAATTAATTGCAAGGAAGTTGAGGCAGGCTGTTGAGAACAGTATCTTTGTCGAATGCAATAATAAAACATTCTGCAGAGTGACAGGTGCAGAATTCAGCTTGTGAGTTGCTATTGTGAAAAGAGAAGAATAAAGGTAAATTTGGGAGGGAAGAGATAAAGAAATGCTTTCTACAGTTCTTTAAACTTTAAAGCCAAACCCAGAAGTATTTGAAACTTCACCTAGTTGGATATATAGGTGCTTCATATAAACTTAATCTCTCTTTCTCTAGAAATTAAACTGACAGAGCAAGGGAACTGTTGCATTGTTCAGTGTAATCAGTCATGTGTGTATGGTGGCTATTTCACAATCAAACCTTGCAAGAATTAGGAATGTTTAAGACCAGCCTGGAAATCCAAAGAACAATCCAGTTAAAAGTGTGGCACACTTTTTGCTTTGCTAATAGCTAGTTTAAACCAGGAATAATTGTACTGAAGCATCTGCAACCCATTCCATCAAAATATAAATGGAGCAAGAAAAAACCTCTCTAGTGTTGCCAAGCAAATCTGGGAAACACATTACTTTCTGTTGTGTTGACACACTTAAACTACTCTGTTGCTAACATGGAAAAACACTGAACGTGGAAACTTGATGAGATTTCTAAGTGTCAGCAAAACAGGAGTGGGAACTGTGGAGGAGAGAGTGCCATACTTGGAATAGAAATTTAATTCTTTTGGATCCCTCCAAAAATAAGATACCTTTTTTCCCTTCTACATCAAAACGTAACAGATACAAATTACCAGCATATGAAAATTGGTAAACTGTGTCTAAGCATGGCTGAAATTGCTTTTTTCCATTTAGGATGTTTAGCAGTGCTTGGCTTAAAGTGCCTTTGATTTCAATTCCATACTCGGAAAGCTACTACTTTCCGAGCTCATCAGATTTGTCGTTCAGATATGTCTTCAAAGACTCATTCATTTGTGGTGCTGCTACATGTTATCTTTTATTTTTTTAAAAATACTTTCTGCTATATTAATTATTCTCACAATCCATCTGAAGTTGTTTCAAGTGTGTAGCAACATTTGAGTTTATCCTATAAAATGCCAGGAGGAAACTTGCCCTTGTTTTTAAGAAAAAGTTTCTGGAATGCTCTGTGTATCAAATACATGGGCTTAAAAAAAAATTGCAGCAGGGTGAGCAGAAAATGACCTGCAATACAAAATGGAAATGCCCCCTTTAAGATGGTTTATTAATGCCACATAAAAAAATTATGTGGCTAGTTAACTTCAGGCAAACACAGTTACAAAATTCGACATTTTATCTGCATGCTTCTGTATATAATTCTGGGATTCAGAGCAAACAGTATGGCCAAAGGCTTGTTTAGGTGTGATGAGATTTTTATCTTTTCTGCACCTTGGATTATTGCTAGTTGTAGTCTAAATCTAAATATTCCAGCTCAAACACTCTTTGTTTATAGGTCCCCTCCGCTTCAAAAATGTTTTTCTGTGTAGTGGGAAATTGGAAAACACTGATGTTTAGGAAATAGGATTCAGAAAGCAAATGGAACTGGTTGCATATTTGCAATCAGGACTTCAGGCTCTGCGTTGGATACAAAGGTTCTCTTCTGCTGGAGTCTTCCTCCAGCAGAGGAAGGGAACTTTGGATCTAATCCTATATTTGCATATTACTAGGGAGATAAGATGCAGCCCTAAAAGCCCTTACACTGGAGTAGCTCTGTTGAAATCGGGAGATAAGAATCCATGCTCTGATACGACAGTCAAAGTCTAGTCTCCCACCGGCTTGGAGGTAGCAGCATTGCCCACTTTAATTCTGTGGTTCTTATGCAGGGGAGCAGGCCTTTTTTTACTAAGTGTAGACCATTTTAGCCATGCAAACTTCCTCATCTCTAATCCAGATTGTAACACGTGTCTTGAGTGTGCCAGGAAAATGAAGGCAACCATTGGCCAGAGAGTCAATTCCAATTCCACTCCCCCAAAATACGGCTTTGGGGACACTGCATTTTCCCCATATAACTTCCTGCTACTACTTGTCCTCCACTATTGCAAGTGGAGGTCGGCTTTTGCCTACTGGGGGTGGGGGACATGTAATTGCAAGAGAAGAGGCTCAAGGAATTTTGAAAAGCAAGTGGTTAGCAAATGAGGAAGATTCACTTGTGTTTGGGGAAGGAGTACGCAGTCCAAATAATTAAAAGTTACTTTTCTAAACAAACCATGTGCACTAGTAGTATTCCACTGTACAGAATGCAACTTTCAGGATACTGTTGATCATGTTTTCAGTTAAATAGCATTATGGGTTGTTCCAAGAGGGATTGTTCAGAGCGAAGCTGGTATTTCTATAATGTGGTTTTAATTGCACACTGTAGTTTCAGTTTAAACACACAACACAAAAACCTTCTAATTGCAGGATCTTCTTTGTGTTCTGTTCAAACTTAGCAAGGTGTAGATGAATGCAAATCCTTTCCTTTTAAACAGAATTTGCAAAAGTATTTTATACATATTATTTGAAAAGGGCTATAATAATTCCCATTACATTTTACAAATATTAGCACTTTCTTGATATTTATGTATTTTAAATGTTATACGGTCAAAATAATCTTCCTGCTTAGCATCTCTTAAAATTTACCTGCAAATGTAGCAGGTTTATTACATTTACTTTAATACTTGTATAAAAATATGCAGAATTTTTTAAAAAATAAAATGTAATATATTTTATAAGCTAATAATAATCGGGTAATTAAAGGTTTCTAGCATGCATTCCTATCATTTGCAGATACTGAAGCATTTTGGTAATCTTTCTCACTAAATATGTGAATGTTTTAATGTAACTTCACTTTCTATTTTTGGTAGTCCAATGGGAATTCAGTAATGACATTTTGTCATGTCAAACTGTGAACATAATTTGTACTGTACAGTCCTCATATGTTATATATAGTATACTATATGTATTATACTTGTTAATAAAACAAGACAAATATTAAATGTCAATATGTAGTTAAAACTATCCCTCAAAACTTGCACAGACTCCCCCCCCCCCGAATCTTGATTTCGCCAAATGGCAGTTGTCCTGAGATACAGCCCTGTATTCTTTAAGGTAAAGGGACCCCTGACCATTAGGTCCAGTCGTGGCCGACTCTGGGGTTGCGGCACTCATCTCGCTTTATTGGCCAAGGGACAGGCCAATAAAGCGTACCGCTTCCAGGTCATGTGGCCAGCATGACTAAGCCGCTTCTGGCGAACCAGAGCAGCGCACGGAAACGCCGTTTACCTTCCCGCCAGAGCGGTACCTATTGATCTACTTGCACTTTGACATGCTTTCGAACTGCTAGGTTGGCAGGAGCGGGCAACGGGAGCTCACCCCGTCGCGGGGATTCAAACCGCCGACCTTCTGATCGGCAAGCCCTAGGCTCTGTGGTTTAACCCACAGCGCCACCCGCATCCCATGTCCACCCGTATTCTTTAGGAGAGCTTATTTATTACTTATTTGGTGACTCACCTAAGAAAGTTGGTTGACTGCAAATATCACAGCAGATCGTAATATTCAACACATCTGGCACATGCAGAAGGCCATTGCACATACATCATTAGCCAGAACAGGAATCATGGACCTGAAATCTGTGCTGCATTACTATCAATAAAATACACATTCGGCTTTGCATTTCTATTCTGACGCAACTAGTCACATGTACAAACTCTTGTTATTTTTTCAGAATTATTTTATGCACAAGTGAAGTTGGATTATTTAAAGTGCACTTGACCAAACGTGAATGTGTCTCTGCTTGATTGCCCTAGCATTAATTCCCGTATACAACAAAAGATACCCATCTTTGCATCACTTCCTCATATTTTCTGCTTTCATTCACAAGTTACTCCATTAAATTGGCCTTGTAAGTCCCCAGGAGTTACTAGCCTGCAAAATAAAATAAAAATAATAATGAAATACTAGCCTGCTGGGAGCTGGCAGAGGAGGAACCGAGTGCTGAATTTCTTGTGGGTGTTAAAGAAGGAACTTGCCCCTTCTAGCTTCCTGCTTGGTTTCTACCCAAGTGAAAAACACCTATGAAGTAAATATTTAATAGATGGATAGTCATTATGAAGTGCTCGGCAAAGGAAAGGTCTTGTAGGATTTTACCTGAAGAACCTTTTTCTGGGTCATGTGGCCAGCATGACTAAGCCACTTCTGGCGCAACGGAACACCAAAACCAGGGCAGCGTACGGAAACGCCGTTTACCTTCCCGCTGGAACAGTACCTATTTATCTACTTTTTTGGGGTGCTCTCGAACTGCTGGGTTGGAAGGAGCTGGGACTGAGCAACGGGAGCTCACCCTGTCGCGGGGATTTGAACTGCCAACCTCCTGATTGGCAAGCCCAAGAGGCTCAGTGGTTTAGACCACAGTGCCACCCGCATCCTCTCCTTTGTTTAGATATTAAGAAAAGCACGTAGGCAGTACGCTCGCCCACCAATGAGGCAAGGTGAGGACCACCTCAGGTAGCAGGATCCACAGGGAGAGCAAATCCTGATGTGGATCTTTATTCCCCACCCCTTTGTTCCTGGTGTAAATCTTCAGTCACCCATTCTTCCCTGGTGGGAAGCGGGGGGGGGGGGGGATTTTGTGGCTTGCCTCAGGCACCAAAATCTCTTGGACGAGCCCTGACTCTACCCAGTTTAGTAAGAAGCAAATCAGCTCCAGACTTCTGAACAAAGAATGCAAATGTACTGCAGGGAGTGATGAGCATCAGGTACTTGTTTTAAAATTTCCTAACAGTTTTCCCCCAAAAAAGATTTAATACAATTAAACAACAGGCTACCAATTTTGCACTGATTCCTCCCCTGAAAAATCCTTCAGCTCTCTCTCTCTCTCTCTCTTTGCAAAAGTTCCAACTACAGACATAATTTGTGCCAGAAATCTTTACTGGCTAAGGCAAAGTGGAACTCCCAAGAGAGTGGGATCCCCCTTCTTGCCCTTATTACACAGCCATTTTAACCCATACTGGGAGACAAGACATAAAGGAATTTATTACACAATTAAAGTTTATTTATCCAACAAAAAATAACACACCAAGCCATACAAGAAGAGTAAAAAGAAGATACAACTCACCGAATCATACAAAATTATATACTGATCAGTTAAAGTTCCAGAGCCTCTTCCAATGTACCAAGTTTCCAAATATCCCTGATGCAATTTTTGCATATCATTGTTGAAAGCATGTGTAATAAATGTCCACCAGGTGGCGCAGAAAGACTGGTTTTTCTTTTGTCTTGCATACAACGCAACATCATTGTTTGGTCCTATGAATAACAAGAGTAAAACAACTCGTGTAAATGTGATGTTAGCAGTGGTGATGCTCACTAATTCCTGACGTACGTTAGACATGGATATATAGGGATTAGTGTCCCATAGGTTATTTCCTGTAGGCATCTTCAAAGCCACTTCTGTACTTTCATAACATTAGCAGATAGTAGCTGGCTTAAAACATGGCCCATTGAAACCTGACTTTAAATGTCAACGCTCAAGCCTGTAAATTCATAGCTGGTCTCCTTTAATAAGAGTTATGCAACTTCACCCAATAATAATCTATTATTTGTGCTACTCACTAAAATCGCCTTAATTCTAACAGTGAAGAATGTTGTTTAGACTGTGTGCCCAGCAAGGTTATATAAGGCCACAAGGGAGTGTGTAAATATTAAATCCAAAGGTTTTTTCCTTTCAAAAAATGGTTGCATGTGGATGATAACCTAGTTTAAGAGCAGGTTTTCAATCAAGAAATCTGATTAATTAGTCCTATGTCTATTTAGTCCTATGAATAATTCCTACCAGAAGCCTATGAGTTAAATAATGAAGAACAAATTATATTGATCCTGTCAACAGAACCAACGATAAAGACACAGCAACTGCTTGTGATTGACTCTTAAACACCAACTCCAAACAAAAATTGTGGGAGTGGACTGTGAAATAAAGCCCGGTCAGACATATCCATGCCTTTTATTCTGAGGAATGCATTTTGTTTACATAACCAGCTCCTGGAATGGCTTCAGTTGTGACTGGTCAGCTTTCCTGAGATTCTACCAAGCCTTTATTGCCACCTACTGCTTTTCAAACTAGAGTGCATGTATATTCAGAATCATAGAGTTGGAAGGGATCTCAAGGGTCATCTAGTCCAACCCTCTTCAATGCAGGAATCTCAGCTAAATCATCCACGACAGATGGCCACCCAATCTCTGCTTAAAAGCTCCCAAGAGAGTCCGCAACGTCTCAAGGAAGACCGTTGCGTTGTCCAACAGCTCTTATTGTCAGATAGTTTTTTCTGATGTTTAGTCAGAATCTCTTTTCTTGTACAGTGGTACCTCGGGTTAAGTACTTAATTCGTTCCGGAGGTCAGTACTTAACCTGAAACTGTTCTTAACCTGAAGCACCACTTTAGCTAATGGGGCCTCCTGCTGCCGCCGCACCGCCGGAGCCCAATTTCTGTTCTTATCCTGAAGCAAAGTTCTTAACCTGAAGCACTATTTCTAGGTTAGCGGAGTGTGTAACCTGAAGCGTATGTAATCCAAGGTACCACTGTAACTTGAAGCCATTGGTTCAAGCCCCACCCTCCAGAGAAAAACTAGATTAGTTGGGAAATGAGATCTAATATAAGTGGAGGATTGTAAGTTGTAACTTTTGAGCATCATGTGCAGTTTAGGTGCTATGTTAGGTGTAACATCTAGGGATGAGGGAGAAATTTGGTGCACTTTGCATTTAAAGGTCAATATGCCTAATTTAGTTTCCAAAACAAAGTGTGAACCAGAACACAGCCACCCTTCAGGATTCACATTTCTCCAGCCAAGCAATGTGTAAAAAAATGCATGTAGAAGGGGAAAGTGTGGGCATAAATGCATATAATAGTTTAAAAAACAAACAAAAGCCATTATTTTAGGGGACACTGCTTTGTTTAAAAAAAAAAGTATGTAAGGTGAAATTGCATATGAAATTGCATATATATGAGAACACACTAAAATGCAGGTGAGTTTTCATGAGGACATTTTGGTAGAGATCTGATCTTAAGACTGGAAGTAGGATAAACTGAGAGAAACCAAAACCGACGTATTCACTTATCCCCTGATAACTTTCCATGTATTCATCATCTACTTATGCCAAGAGCCAACAATGCTTTTGATGGGGGATTTGGTATCGCGCTATACCTTCCTTATAAGTGGGCCTTCCCATATTTATCCCTTTCTAAACCCACAATTGTTTTGCACACATGCCCCCTATTAAATTTTAAGTTAAATGAGCTTTTCTCATTTCTTAGCATTTATTCTAGGCCCTCTATTTTACTAACATGTATATTGCACACCACTAGATGGCGCCAATTTTCCATTAAAAGACTCAATGTATTATTATAAAGAGGGCAGAGTCATAAAATTGAAGAGCTGGAAGGGACCATGAGTGTCATACAGTCCAACCCCCAGCAATGCAGGAATCTTTTGCCCAATGTGGGGCTCAAACCCATGACGCTGAGATTAAGAGTCCCATGCTCTACAGATGTCCCAGGTGTGCCCAACCCCTCTTAAAGGTAAAGGTACCCCTGCCCGTACGGGCCAGTCTTGACAGACTCTAGGGTTGTGCACCCATCTCACTCTATAGGCCGGGAGCCAGCGCTGTCCGCAGACACTTCCGGGTCACATGGCCAGTGTGACAAGCTGCATCTGGTGAGCCGTTTACCTTCCCGCTGGTAAGCGGTCCCTATTTATCTACTTGCACCCGGAGGTGCTTTCGAACTGCTAGGTTGGCAGGCGCTGGGACCGAACGACGGGAGCGCACCCCACTGCGGGGATTCGAACCGCCGACCATGCGATCGGCAAGTCCTAGACGCTGAGGTTTTACCCACAGTGCCACACACGTCCCTCCAACCCCTCTTAGGTGTGCACTATGTATTATTCTCGTGGTTAATTAAATTGTATTGAGACTATATTAATCTCCTCAAGTGGATTGCCTAAGCAGAAT